CTACTGGGCGATAGTTCGAAACATCTAATTGGTCCCCTTTTTTATAAAGAGGTTTTACTTTAGAAATTTTTAATTTATCTGGAAATATGCCGGATATAAATGATGAATTTACTAAGTGTGCAAATGGTTTTTTAAGTGAACTCTGGGCATGCTTTATTACTGTTATGGGAACATCGTCGAAGCCTGAAGATAGTTTATTATCAAATTTGGTAATTATTTTACTGATATCTGTCTCACTGATTGGTTCACATCTAAATTTATTTTGTTTGTTATTTATTACTAAATTAGGTACTGATAAATTTGGTGTATTTATTTTTGGAATTACATCAGAATCAACTACATTGACATAAAAATCATTAAATGTGTGACATACAACAATAGGGTCATTATATACTTTTGAATTTACCTCTATTTCATCTATGCTCTTCACAACCTTTTTTTTGTTTTTTATATTTAAATTAATTAAATTCCAAATTGTCTTGGATACATTCCCTGAGCTCAAAATTTTGTCATCCATATAACTTTGTTTGGCTTTGAAAATATTTTTCTTAAATGAGCTCATTCCTTAAATGAGTTCATTTCTTTAGCTGAATTCATTAAATATTCATTTTTTGTTATTCTCCCTAATGCGCTTTTTTCTAATTTTTTTCCTCTCGGTTTGTAGCTCATGATTATTCCAAGGGACTTTTTGATCAGTATCTCTACATTTAGTGATAGGAAAGCACATATCAAAGTAATACATAAAAATACTGTTGAAGATGTTAAATTTCAACTCAACTGGTGCAAAGTAGACCTCCTCCCAACCTTCCTGACTCAGCATATTTGAGAATTTTTTGAGATTTTGGTTTGAAAATATCTTTACTGTTTTAGTTATTGGTTTATTGTTCATATTTTTATTGGGCAAGTTGAAGGTTAATAATTGAGCATCGTGATCAGAAATTTGTGTGTTTAAACCACTAATTTGCATGTTGTTAGGATGTCTTATTTCATGTAACACTTGTTAGGAAGTTAGTAGTAATAAAGATAGATGTTAACTGAATCTTAGTTCTATAATTGTTTAGCCTATCTTGGGCTAACACAATAAAACATTGTTGAAATCTATTTCAAAACACAATGTGTTATAGGCCAGAGGAAGTAGACACATGAAATTACCCAGTGGAAGATGGAGATGTTATTCTGGTCGCCACAGACAGAGTATTTGACAACCTTCCTGACCAGGTTAGCCATAGAAATTTTAAATTTTACTTGAAAAAAGGTTTATACAAAGGTAATTATTATCGAAAGGGATTTAAAATAATGCAGTGGCTGTTTGACTACACGGCTAAGCTAAATGGATGTTCGGACCTGGCTATAATCAAAAACTGTCAAATGCACAACTCTCAACCATAACTGGTAGCCAAGCTCTTAAATTTTTTGTCAAATTTTAAGTGATCATAACTGAATTTATTCAAATTGGACTTGATATAGGTAGCGTAACCATTACCTGGAATTTAGTAAAAGGTCTACATATAACACAAGTGAAAAATAATTTGCTACGCATAAAACTATAGCAATAATCAATGTATTTTAAAATCAATTGGTTTGGATTAAAATTAGGTTCTCATTGTACAACACCTCCCTGTTGCAGCAAACCTAAGTACTCGTTAAACAAATGTTATTTAAATAGGGAATAAATGTGATATTTTAAAGGAGACATTTTAGTGTTAATCCAATCAGGCAAATGGAATTTCGCTTAGTCTGCAGGTTTGCTGCAGCAGGGTTATTTATTACTGCATCAGCTGGAGGCACTCTCTGAAGATCTGCTTCAACCATTTGTTGTCAAACATTGATCTCGTAAAATAGTGAAATTATTTTTCGTATGCACTAATAGAGCAAGGTTTGTACTCTTCTTTTAGATTTAAAAAATAAATGTTTCATTCACAGGTAAACATTTTTAACCATAGTAGTAACACCATTATAGCTTTAAAAGTTCAAAGTGAAAGTTTACACAACTTTTAGCACATTTGACGGATAAACCTTTTTTTGAATTTATCATTTTATAAGTGTTTATCATTTATTTTGTAGAAATCAATGCAATTATAACAACAGAAATACTGCATCATTCCATTTTACGGTGACATAGTATTTATTGTACATATAAAAAACTTTCTGCTAATGCAATAATTAGTTCAATTAGGACCATTGAGTATTGAATAATTTAAACATTGATCGATAATGGAGCGGTTGACAACTCGAAACAGTTGTTAGACTAGGCCTAGTTGCCTTCAACATTTGCAATGCAAACTGTATGCACTGAGGTCGGCAAACAGTGTTCACAGTGTGCAGGCACTTTGGACGTCGTGCAACAGTCAAATATTTATTGGACGTCATGGCACTTGGACGTCGTGCAACTGGCAATGGCTTTGGACGTGGTGCAAATGATACTTTTTTACAATTAAATAGTGCGCTGTTTCACGACGTCTAATTTCATGACGTCCAAAGCTTGTAGAAAGACTATATTTTTGGCAGTTACTGTACTTTTGGACGTCGTGCAACAGTCAAATAATTTATATTGGACGTCGTGCAACAACTCAAAAATTATGTTTTGAACGTCGTGGCACTGAATAATATCTTTGGACGTCGTGGCACTTGGACGTCGTGTAACACTCCCATAAAATGCATATGGATGTTGCTTGTATATTTTATTTTATATACATTGATGTTTTAAGTAAGTAAACGAACAATTGGTTTTGTGACTCTAGGGCCGTAAAAACAAAATCGGTCCCCAATGATGATGACAGCTGCCATTTCGGTCCTGGACAGCAATTCCACACAGGACAGGACACATTGGACAGCTTCCAGCCTCCAATTAACGTTTTGTAAAACGGCTAAAAACATCTTTGTAGTTTATTTAAACCACAATGTTGTTTGTCAATCATAGGTTATGTATCCAGATGACCAATAAAATAAATTATTCATTATTATTAGATGTTTGAAATAACATTCAATTTGCCCAGGGAAAGCGAGACCCAGTCAAGATACAGAAGGTGGCCAACTTCATCGCGTGGATGTCTCGCAACTTTAGCGATTGAAGACAAGTCTCTCTTCATATATCAAGTCTGCAATGGCCAATGGAATACACGCAATAGGTATGTTTGCTACTTAATAACTTAGTTACTAGACTTGCTGTACCAGCTAATGTGTGACTGTTGTGTAGTCAAGTCACAGCAATATGATTACTATTGAACTGAAATAATGTATACATATCATAGGGCTACATCTAGACATACCACTGGATTGTCAGTAGTGTCTTTATTCACTTTCAGTATTTACTGTAAATTGTAAATACAGCTTAAACAAGGTATTATTTATTTTTTAATGGTGGCATTGACTAAGGAAACAAAAGCAGACAACCAGCGCTCGTTGCGCTTGACCTAGTTCATGATGCGGATATCAGGCAGCGCCACTGTTGATGATGTGAAAGATCTTCTTTACCGACGCGAGTACGGCGAACGGTGTTCCCCTACTATATTACTTACATTTTTATAATGAAATTTACATATTTATTATCTGCAAACGTTACAAAACCCGGCAGTCTAAAAATCGTAAACATTTAATTTATATACATTTTTCATGGTTATACAAGACATGCAAATAAGTACATGAAATTCTAGTGAATTCATGAAGACATAGACGTAAATGAGCGTGAAATTAGATTTTGTATTAAGGATAGAACAAAATTATTTTTGAAATAAATGTAGATAAAAAGCTATTTTAATACCCCAAAAAAATTTGTCCTATTCCTATTAACTGGGATAAAATGTCTAATTCCACTTAGTAAAAAGCAAGCATGCCCTAGCAATGTAAAAATACGGTTTTAATCATTATACTGCAGTTTGCAATTGTTGTATTGGTAATTAGGCCTAAAGCTTTGTTCGATAATTCAACACCTTACATTTGTTAACTCATGATTTTTTAATTTACTTACTCAATAAAATAATGTTACTTTCGAAACTATATATTAGGTATTCCTTTGAACACAAAATACAAGAACCATACTGTTGAGTTTATTTTCAAACATTTAATTAAATATGTTTGTTAATAAATTAATATAAATCTGGGAAAAATATATATATCTAATAATATTTGACAAAATAACAAATAAAGTGAAAGTTATACCTCTTAAAAGAGTGTTGACCA